ACTTGTGAAGCATAAAGAAAAACAGAGTACTCATTAAGACTAGTAAAAATGATTTTGCAGAAGAGAAATACCTTAGTGGTGTAAACTTTGTCACCATTCTCATTGATGTAAAACTGGAGATACATCCTCGCTAAATTTTCACCTGTTTACAGACAACAACAGTAAACAAGAAACCTCAGAATTACAGAGCAAACAAATACTGCAAAAAAGTTGTAGTACTAAAACCCTAGCAAGTACCTGAGCTGCTTCGCCGGTTAATGGAGCTAATAATTGACACAGAACAGTCCTTAGGGTTTCTTATAAAGAACGCGGAAAAATCAGGGACTTAAAAGGAATAATGAAAAATAAATGAGGGCAAATAAGTAATTGAACTCAGTCCAACACGTCTCTCCTACCAAACGTCACCTTCCTTCTTCACTCCAAAAATTCTGAACTCAAACGCCTGAGAAAAACTGAAGCTCTTTGATCTACAAAGCAATGTCGTTTGAAGAAGACGAAGAGTCGTTTGAGCACACGCTCCTGGTGGTGCGTGAGGTGTCCGTTTACAAAATCCCACCACGTCCGACGAGTGGTGGTTACAAGTGCGGCGAATGGCTACAATCCGACAAGATCTGGACGGGTCGGCTCCGGGTCGTATCGTGCAAGGAACGATGCGAGATCCGACTCGAGGATCCGAACTCCGGCGAGCTGTTCGCGGCGTGTTTCGTGCCGCCGGGACAGAGAGAGAGCTCGGTTGAATCGGTGCTCGACTCGTCGAGGTACTTCGTGTTGAAGATCGAGGATGGGAGAGGGAAGCACGCGTTCATCGGGCTAGGGTTTAATGAAAGGAATGAAGCATTCGATTTTAATGTGGCTTTGTCTGATCATGACAAGTATGTGAAGAGAGAGAATGACAAGGAAGTTGGAGATGGTGAGGCTGGTGATGATAATCACATTGATATTCATCCTGCTGTTAATCACCGATTAAAGGTATTCTAACTTCGTCTGTAATAATTAAATTTTCTTTTCAGTTTGGTGATTCAGTTGCTTAAGAAGGATAATTGAGTAGTAACTTAACCTAAATCGTATGCATTTGAGCTATAATCGTTTTCTGGAAGTTTGTGAATAAGTGATTTTCTGATAATTAGCAAGGAATATCAGTCATTCTGCTAATCTGGATTCATTGAACTTAGAATTGCTTAGATGCTTTTGATTAATGTGTTTGTAATTGAATGAAAGGCGGGGTTTAGAGATATAGCTAAGTAGGATTTGAATGGCAGTATACAGCTTAACTTGGAGTTGAGCTAATATAGGATGAATCTGAGCAGCTTGCGCTGAGGCAAACGATAAGATGAGCTTAATTGTGCAAATCTAGTATGCTTCACGCATCTATTTGTTAACTTAGAGCCTTGGAGATTCTTTTTACCATGACTACACCTTTTCTTTTTGCTAGTGTTTGGGAGCATAAAATTACTTGGTCTGTTTGATTCTTAATCGGTCGTATTCATCTTATTGGGTGTTTGTTTTTTAGTAGTTCTAAGTACTGGTACAAGGAAAACTATGATGTTATGTGGATGCCTGCCGTATAATTTGTTTCATTGAATTGGTTTTCTTGTTATGCTCTTCATTTCTCCAGTTCCTTGATCTTCTCGGTCGGATTTAATGTTGCTAGCTCTGTCCCAGTATTTGATATAGCAATATGTTCATGTCAAGATTAATGATTTGTGTCAATACTTGCGTTTAGAATTAATTATAGTAGTAGTTGTTGTCATCATTGGATTATCCTGATAACAATCTTTGCTATTTAAGGGAATAACTTTTGGTAGTTTGGTGTCTAGGAAGGTGAAACAATCCGGATAAGTGTGAAGAACAAACCATCTAGTGGGACAGGCATGCTTTCGGCTGTGGGATTGGCGGCTGGAACTACAGGAGCTGTGAAAAAAACTCCAGCACTTGCACCTCCGCCCAGTGGAGGTAACAAGATTAGGTCTCCTCTTCCACCCCCTCCAAATGATCCAGCTACTGCTCGGAAGACTTCTACCTCTCCCAGTATTGCTCTAAAGGAAAACACCAAGCATTCCACTGATCCGCTTTCAGATCTCACTGAAATTGAGGTACTTTCTTATCAACCTGTTCAATGCTCCTTGTGAAGGTCGCTCTTTGCATATTACTAAACCTTAAGTCCCAAGCCTTTGTTAGTGCACCTTCAGTCAAGAAGTAATAGCTAACAAGGACTTTGATCAACAAAACATCCTAACAGACCTTTGATATTTTTTTATCCACTTGGTTTTACTATTGTTGCCTGATGTGCTTCTGCAAATATTGATGACAAATCTTATCATAAGTGTTGGAATTAAAAGGTATCTTCAGTGTGCTAATTTTACAAAAGAGTTTATTGAAGATACCTATGGAACATAGGTTGCTCTATCCAAAAACAACAAAAAATATGCTGTCTCAATTATTGATTGGAACAACAACAACAATGACCCAGTAAAATTCCATAAGTGGGGTCTGGGGAGGGTAGTGTGTACGCAGACCTTACCTCTACCCTGAGAGGGTAGAGAGGATGTTTCCGATAGACCCTCGGCTCAAGAAGACGAAAAGAGACAATATATCAGTACTATCAACAAAAACCATAGAAATAATAACATCACAAGAACCAGTAAATAAGACTCGGCACTATGAAAACGGAAGAGTAGTGAATACAATATTGACCATTAGCAGTCTAAGACAAAATCCTATCAGCCTAGCCTCACACTGGTACGTGTTAGAAATATGCATGACTACCTCATAACCTATAACCTTAATGCTCGACCTCCACAGCTTCCTATCGAGAGTCATGTCCTCGGAGATCTGAAGACTTGCCATATCCCACCTAGTCACATCTCCTCAATATTTCTTAGGCCACCTTCTACCTCTCCCCGTACCCACCAATGCCAACCGCGCGCACCTCCTTACCAAGGCAGCTGGGCTTCTCCTTTGTACGTGCCCGAACCATCTGAGTCTCGCTTCCGCATCTTGCCATCCATGGGAGTCACGCCCATCTTCTCCCAAATATCTTTAGTCTTAATCTTATCCATCCTAGTGTGCCCGCACATCCACCTCAACATCCTCATTTCTGCTACTTTCATCTTCTGGATATGTGAGTTCTTAACTGGCTAACACTCAGCCTCATACAACATGGCCGGTCTAACCACCGCTCTATAAAACCAATTGTTGATTGGAACATAAGGTTCAATGGTTATATGGTTTCTAAACCTATAGCGTTGGGAAAAATTTTATTGTGTGTTTCACACACCTGACACTAGTTGTGTGAGTCCTCTTTTTTGTCTCACAACTTTGTGGTCCCAGAATTTTGTGGACCCAAATGTGTAAGATATGGGTCCACAAATGTATGAGATAAATATAAGTCTCAACTAATGTCAGTTGTGTGAGGCACACCATAAAATCACTAGCTTTATGGTATGTCAGTTTTGATTTATATAACCTTATGATCCATGTGATATCTGCTTTTTACCTATTTACTATGACTGCGGCACTGCGCTATGAGAGATTATTTGATGTTAAAATGAGCAAGTCTTCTAATAGCAAATATCCTTATTGGCATCTACAGAGGAGCCTGCCTTCAGCCACGGGATCCGGATCAAGTAAAACCACAGCAGCTGGATGGGCAGCATTTTAATTTTGTGTATTAAATATGGCTGACATGTATGATCGCTGTTGTATTACCATAGAAAAATAGATCGAGATTCAGAAAATGGAAGAGAAATTTCATGGTGGTTTTTTCCCTCACATTTTGGAAGATAATTGCAATGGAATATGTTAATGTACTTGCTTGACATCTGAATTAAGTCTCTGTATTACATGCAATAAGGAAAATATCTTATTTTACCGTTTACACAAACGTCTGTCGAGCTTTCCCGAAGTAACATATTTCTTGCAGTGACATGATTTTCAGAACGTAGTGTTTATGTATTACAAACAATATAAGACTTCAAGTCCGAGATGCTTTTTATTTGTTGTGTTTATTTCTTTCTTTTATAACTCAGTGGCGGCATAATTCGAAATCGGTGGAGAAGAGAGGAGAGAATAGAACTGTTAAAACTCGAATAGATTTAGGGTTTAGGAGCAAACCGATTAACTTTTGACATATATTAAGGACTATTTCTGTTAAGTGGTTTTTATATCAAGGACCAAAATAATCCAACCCCCGTACATTAAGGATGATTTTGATCATTTTCTCGAGCTGGCATCTTAGTGCAAAATAGCTACACCTACTCTTTGTAAAATTTGTCTTCCATCTGTACGTCTGTCAATCAGTGCCACAAAAGTACAAAAACTACAAATGTGTCAAACAAATAATGAAAACTACGATAGGTTGTTATGGTTCTGCTAAGACAACATAAGTGCAATGTGAAATGATTACTATTTCTTTCGAACCATAAGAAAATTAAGTTACTCGATCATTAAATATAAATAAAATTTGGATTTTAAAGTTTTCGAAAGATGTTCCTCAAGAAAACTGTGGATTTATAGTGTATGTATAAGACCTCCACCTTCATATTTTTCTTTGTTGTTCTCATTTGGGATCTACAGGTGTTCCCAGCTTTCCTATTGGGTACCCCCATAGAACAAATTTCCCAAATTCCTCAAATTTCATTTCCTCTTTCTTTTTTTTTCTTTTTTTGGGTGAATGACTAGACGATGTTGTTCCTCTGCTAACTGTCTATTAACTTGCACCCAATGTACTGATCCATAGAACTTCAACAAAACAATAAAAAGTTGAATTCTATAGCACTCTCAAGGAAGAAATTGTTCCTTCACAGGCTTTAAGTAACTGAAATGCTTCCAAACCTCTTACAGGTAATAACTAAATTTTCTGACTTTGCTCGATCATCCAAAGTTCAACCATATCAATTGCAACCAAATAAAAGTCGACCTGCTAAAATACCAGCTCAACGGCAGCAAAAGTTACGTGTTACAAGTTAAAAGAATAACAAGCATTAAGTCCATTGGTTAGGTTAGTCAGGCAATGCAAGCATGAACCTCCATAGTGCCTCAAATGCATACAGCAGTCTAATGAAACGAGTAGCTACTGTGTAAGACAAATCAAAAGAAAAAAAATTCTTGCACAGCTTCATTTCTGGAGCACCAACTATTCCCTGTTACAAAGAAAAATCAATGATTTATGGGAAGCAAAAAAATGACCCAACTATGTACACTGCACATAGGTCCAACCACCTAGAGTGCTATACTGACCAAAGATGCTGAGAACGAAAAAGGAAAGTCTCTCAGCCTAATGAACAACCCTGACCCCAGAAGGAATGACAAACTTTTAACTGCAAAATGAACTTTGAATCATTTGAGATGTTTCTAGCTTATATGGTATCTCATTTCTGAAAAAGCGCAAAAGTGGAGTTTACGGATCATATGTTAGAACTAGGAAGACTGGAAGAGGCTACTGATCCTGATATTCAGGCTTTAACACCCAAAAAGATCCACTAGGGTTTTTATCCAGAGTCGCTATTTCCTTCAAAAGATTCTTGAACAGTGGCAGATCCTTTGATGGTACCCGGTCCCTGAAATGATCTACAATGCTAGCTGAATTGGTTTTCCCACCTCTCTGTTGTATAAACGTGCAGATCTGGCGAACCAACACCTCTGGCTGAACTACGTAGCTGCTAGATGCACTCCGATGCCCATTATTTAGAGAACCTGCTCTGCCGTTTGAGGTTGAAGCCGACATACCAAACTGATGCACAAGTCCATCACTAACGGCTTTCTCTTGGTTCCCCCTAATCCTAGCCAATAACTCCGCTGAAGATAATGCTTTTCCAGCAGATGCCCCAGCAGCAAAAGCATTTGCCCTACTAGCAGAGTCATTCAGTGATTCTTCAGATGACTTACTGGTTAATTGAGGATTAACAGTAGAACCAAATTTCCTTTTAACAGATGATGGCCCCCCAGCAGCTCCTGATTTGCCAGTCCAAGTTGGCACTGCTACATTTTCTCGACTTCGAAGCATTCTTGACTGTCGCAGTGCTTCTGCAGCTCTCTGAGCTACTTGGGATGCCTGCTCCTCTAGCTTCAACTTCTCTTCATCATGAGCATTCATGATAGCATCATGATTCATCGCACTCTGGCAAAACACAAAAGATAAATAAGGCAAGTAAAACAAAGAAATGACTGAAATAAAGGTAAGAAATGGAATATAATAAACATAGCAAAATTTAACTCAAAAACTGGCTTAACATGACGTTGAAATAGAAATTGGTGTACCTAATTTTTAAATCAAATCCAAACCCACAAGATAACTGATTAAAGAACCCCAACCCCCTCCCACAACAAACACAAAAAAAAACACCCCAAACCAAACCAAAAAAAAAAAAAAAGACAGAAAATAAGGTCAAAAAATCTAAAGCATTTGCACACGGTGATCAACTTGATCTAATGAGCATCAACAGCAGACAGTGACATCTGGACTGGGGGTGGCTGGGAATACGAAGCCTACTGTGCATTGACTAGCCAAAATAGAGGGCTTACATGGATCCCATGAGCATCAAAAAGACTCCGCAGGATGCTTGCTTCTCCATCTAACTCTCCATTGCTGTTACCATCTCCCGCTTTTCCCTTGGTTTTTGAGTTATTGCCCCCGCCAATATTGGAATCATCATCCTTTTCTGCCGTTGCTTTAAAAGATTGTTTGTCTTGATTACCTGGGACCCCAACAATGTTCACATCTTCAGATACCTGGCTGAAAATGCTAGATGTTTCTGTAGATCCCCCATTTTCATCATCATTTAATGTAAATAGGTCCTTCATATCTCTTGCTTTGAAAAATCTTCTTTGCTGTGGGTTCTTCAATATTTTGTTGGTAAGAAAGTGCTTGTAAATCTGTCGATGATACACCTTCTCCTCTATGGTTCCTCGGGTAATCAATCGATACACTGTAACATCCTTTTTTTGACCAATTCGCCAAGCACGCTCCCGGGCCTGTCCTATGTAAAGGGGTCCCAATTAAACACGTTGAGCAAATATCAATTAATTACTTAGACATCCACATTATCCAGAAAAAATTACTTAGACGTGCACCTTAGCTCAATAGAACTCAATACACCTCTCCTCTCCTTGTGTGTGTGTGTGTGTGTGTGTGTGTGTGTGAGAAACAGTAAGACTGATGACAGCTTTAAGTTGTTCTTTACTTGTACCTCAGATCTTCAACAGAAGGTAGACGCTTAATAGGGGACCAGGTATTGTTAATTCAACATTTTCAAAATTTCTCATATATATATATATAGTTTTTACCCTATAATTTCCAGGAGATTCTCTTGCATGTAGAGAATGACTCCATTGCCAGACCAAGTTTCACCAGAAACTTAATAGAATGAAATTTGCTAAGCACCATTAGTCAAGGGGCTAAAGTATCAGAAGCAATAATTGGATTCCAACAACACAAAACAGCGTGTTCTTGAAAGACCAAGAATCTAATTCTCTTCATGATTGGAAAATCAATAAGAGGATAAGAGTAGAAGTACCTGCATGTCAGTTGATGGGTTCCAGTCAGGATCAAAAATGATTACTCTGTTAGCTCCTGTCAAGTTTGTCCCCAGACCACCAACTTTTGTTGTCAAGATGAAGATGAAAATATCATCTGTATTGTTAAATTCATCTATCAAAGCCATCCTCTGCTTTACAGGAGTGACACCATCCATTCGCCTATAATTGTACTCACAAGTAACGAGAAATCTCTCAAAAATATCAAGCATCTGTTGAGTTTGAGAAAAAAGGAGAACACGGTGCCCCTGTTCTTTCCATACCTTAAGCACTTCTGCAACAACTTTCATTTTCCCACTGCGTTCAGGATTTCCATAGTCTGGATCTCTACAGGAATGTTCTCTCTCAAGAAGATCGGGATGGTTGCAAATTTTCCGCATTACATCAATTCCATACAGAGAATTCCTGTTCCCATCAAAGATCTGTTCAACCTCAGAGCTAGCAAGAAAAGCTCGGTAAACAGATCGCTGCTCTGGTGTGAGGCTGCAGAAGAGGACATGCTCAGTTTTCTTAGTGAGATGAGCGTTGACATCAGCTTTCATCCGCCGGAGGAGGTAAGGCATGATTAAGTCACGCAACACCACAGCGCATCTGCATATCAACAGAGCAAAGCCACATAACGAACCAAAAACTCAATGCCACATCCCCTATGAGGACCACCCCAGATCCCTCAAGGGTCCAACATGTGCCAATTAAACCAGGGTTAGCAATAAATTTAGAAGATTACAAGCACTACAAGTTCTAATCAGTATTTTCCCATTTTTAGCTTTCTTTTAGTTTACTTCTGCCCTCTCAAGAGCCGAGGCAAGGGGGACAATCAGTTGTCATGGACTACTACAGATTTCCTTCTTCTTCATTTCCATAAGTTCATCTAGAATTATATATAATAACATGAATAAAAATAGGAAAAAAATACAAAACATAGATAGTCCCTTTGCCTCCGACTCAGATGATAACCAAATATCAAAAGGAGAAAGTAACTACAGAAACCTACATAAACTCTACTGTGGGATAAAACGCCAACCTGTAAGCTGTGGAAACTTGCAAGGGTGTTGCATTAGCATACCCCCCAACAGAAATGGGAACAGCAAATTCAGCCTCAAACACAGGTAGAACTCCCAACTTTCCAGGGAAGACAAAATCAAACAATGACCACAGTTCACTCAGCTTGTTTTGAATTGGGGCCCCTGTCATTATGATACGGTGAACAGTCTGGAGCTGCTTGCATACAAGAGTAACTTCAGCATTTGGATTCCGAATTCGATGTCCTTCATCTAACACTGCATAACCCCATTCGATGTCAAGTAATTTCTCTCCTAATATACGGAGTTGCTCATAAGTAGTGATCAATAGTCCAGAATTTGATCTTACAACACGAGCTATCACAGGATCCCATTTTTTGGAAGTCCTCGAAGATGTGTTTCCTTCAGTCTCACTGTCAAGCAGATCTTCGCTTTCATAGTCACTTTCAGAATCTGCTTGCTTCTTTTTACTTGATAGATCATGAGCTGAATCATGTAATATCTCCACGTGGAAGCTGGGATACCATTTTTTAGCTTCCCTCTTCCATTGCCTCAAAAGAGTGACTGGACAAATTATAATGCTTGGCTTATACATATTGCTAAAATGCAGTGATCCGAGAAAAGATAAAACCTGTACGGTTTTACCAAGACCCATCTCATCTCCAATTATCCCACCAGCTCTTTGACAGTGAAGTTCCCACAGCCACTGTACACCAACCTTCTGATAGTCAAAANCCCCCTCCCCCATCCCGAAAAAGATCTTTCTGCTTGGACACCAAAACATTTGAGAAAGCATATAGCAAAATACAGAAAGATTCCAAACTTAAGGCCTAAATATTTGACATCTAAACTGGAATTAAGAGATAGAGTTTCTATCAAGCTCACCTATCATTGTACTTAGACGACTACATCAGACTTAACAAAAATTAGTCAAAAACATGAAACCGATATGAGTTCTTGCGATGGACCATGTAAGCTTATCTATCCTACCTTGTCACTAGAATAAACAGACTACATGCTGTTGGCACCTATAGGCAAAGGTTAACTAACAGATCGGCACTATGAAGTTATTCATGTCGGGAGGAAAATATATCAGGAGCAAACAAAACCAAATACTTATACAGGAAGGGAGGGAGAATATATCACGAAATAGCAATCTGTTTGCAATTTATTAACAATATCAGTACACACATACTGATAATATATTTTGTGATAATCAACCCAATTGTGCACATAAGTCCGGAACTCGGAGAGTACAGGTAGCATAAAACCGAAAGAATCGACCTAACCAAGATTTTCGGTTTTTGTGTCGGTTTTGGTTTATTCAGTCGGTTCAGGATTAATTTTTCATAACTTCAGTTCGGTGGCTGGTTTCAAGCTTTAGATTTTTAAAAGTTCACGGGTTTTTGAGAACTTTTCAAGTCTTCTCTTTAGCTGCTCAGCCTTCGAAATATCAAATTGTATTCAGCCTTCCATCGATCCTCTAAGTTTTCTCTTCCTGAGGTTACAATATTGCCTGATCAACTACAATTCTTCTTCCATTAACAAGTAAACCTTAATTCTCTCAAGCTTTAGAAGATGAAGCTTGCACTTCTACTCTTCCTCCCTGTCACCATCTAAAGTTGCCGCCAAGAAGTTCACAGTCTTCAGACTTCAGCCCACGAAATAATAAATCGCCTTTGCTGGTGACTCTCTACCCTTCCGGGGTAGGGGTAAGGTCGCATACACTCTACCCTCCCCAGACCCCACTAGTGGGATTTTGCTCCTCCAGTCCATGTAAGATACTTATGGCTTGGCATCTGAGTAAGCGGCTCTGCTCGATATTATGTTCTGAAGCAGCCCAGCCTTCGAGATCTGTACTCTCTCCTCTCGACCTATAGATTTCAAAGTCACTGCTTTCTTATCATTTTTCTACGTATTTTGTTCTATGTTGTTTAGTTGATTGTATTTGTTTATTGATTTTATCTTGAGAATGTATGGAATTTTGTTTATTAATTTGTGAGGTGGTGTTTTAAGTGTTATTATGATCCTTCTTCCTTAAATCAATTTGCCAACTAGCTTATGCCCTTGAAATAAAACCGTCATTGCTGACCAGCTTATGCCCTTGAAATAAAACCGTCATAAACCAAAGCAGGCTAAAATAGTCATCCGCTACCTAGCGACTAGTATCAAAGTGGACTTACTAAAACCAAAAAAAAAAAGTTCCTAACTGATAAGGCCCAAACCGTAAAACAGAACCGATATAAACCAAACCAAACTCTACAGACCAAACCGACCCGAATTAATTTCAGTTCCATTTCAGTTTTCCACTTCTAAAAACCGAAGTGATCGAACGCCCACCCCTATCAGAGAGTATCCCTCCCTCCCACTTAAATACCACGGTTTAATCAATGATAAGGTTCGAGCTCGTGACACGTGCCTAACCCACACTTCACACATTGCGTCCTACCGAATAAACCAAATCCCTAGGTGCATAGCAAAAATCATGTGTATAAAGATACCTGATCCTTCGTTCTGTCTTTGCTCCCGAGATGCCAACTTTCTCCACTTCTTGCTAGGTAATGGTCTTTTCTTCTTTCTAGTACCATCTCCATTCTTCTCTGGTGTAGTCTCTAATGATTGAGGGATTTTAAGGGGTTTCCTTAGTCTTTGGAAAGGGTGGGTTGGTGCCTCAAGTTTTGGTAATGAAGCAGAATCAAGCAACTTGGTGGTTGGACGAGCTTGAGCTGCCTGTGAAATTGACTGGACAGCCTTGGCTATACTGGTGGAAGCCAGGTCATTGTCATTACTGTTTATATCAGCTGCAGTACTTTGTCTGCCAAAAGACTCCGAATCTTGAACCCGGCGTTCAAAGCCTTTGAGCTGGTGGAAGGGGGTTAACATTCCTTTCCTTACCAGTGCATCTCTTTCCTACAACAGAGAAAATATGTAGTTAGCTTCAGAGCTCTTATGTTAAGGTACGATAATAGATGCTTACGTTGCACAAAGTATTACTTATTATTGTACAAACATAAATGCAAACATGTAGCTTCCACCTTACAAAATCTTTTCAATTTACAGTTCGTAAAAAACCACATACTGTTTCAACAAATCCAGAAGATGCTGCAGTTAACACTGCATCAAAATCATCATCATCATCCAACAATGTCGTCTTCCGTCGTTTGCTCTTCTTGTTGCTTGATTTCTGAACTTCCTTCACCTTTCTTTTGAATTCAGGTTGATCCTTAACAAGATCTCGTATCAATGCATCAGACGAAGTATCATCAGTAAAATCCGAAAGTTCTTTCTTAAGTTGAGCCTTCGTCTTGAGGAGACTTCTTAGACGATCATCAGCTAAAGCATGTTGAAGGTTTGAATCGTCCAGAGGTGCCTGAATAACGCTTTGCTCACTCTCTGTCTGCTTTGCCTCGCTGCTACCATCAGTATCTGGGACTTCCTCCTCATGTCTTCTGAAGCGCTCCAAGTGTTCAAAACCACTCTTAATCGCATCTATTTCTACTTCTACTGCTCTCAGTTTATTATACAAATCTAATTTCTTATCCTGTCCTTCTTCGTTGCCTTTCTTTCTTTCCACTATCTCTTCTTCAGCATTCCCCATAGCTTCATTGCTCTCCCCAGGGTGCCTTGTTGCCTGCCAATATATGAAAAAGGTCCATCTCCATTAAGTTACTAGATTGCATAGCATTAGCATATTACGAAACTACGCAAAACTCCTACTGCCAAATGATTTACAGAGAAACAGCATTACCAACTCTGCAGAACAAACCTTTTCCAAGATGTCATGCTCAATATCTTCAGGATTTGCAGAGGTCACACCCAAACTGCTGAGTAAAATCTTATCTTCCTCCTCTTCTTCCATTTCTCCTTTTTCTGTCTACAAATGAAAAGGACAAAAGATCATCTTTCAGCAATACAATTCTCATTCCAGATATTCAAGAGTTTAGTGCATTGTGCATACCATATGCCCCCTTATTTGTTAGTTATACAAATGTTATGACATGCTTAAGACCACAAAGTTCCAAAATAATGTCATACCATATTCAAGACCACAAGTCTCAAAGGCAGTTCTTTGATTATTAACCTCTGTGCCAAGTCACATTACCTCACATAAATTGAAACAAATAGGGTAGTATTTTTCGTTTTCTCCATTTGAAAACAAAATAAGATACATGTGAAGGTACCAGAAGAATACATTGTGAATAAAGTATATTTGACCTCGTTATTAGCTAATTGCTGGTGAAAGTCCACTTACCAAATTAACTAGGAGCAGTCACACCGCGAAACTCCCTTTACAAAGTCCTGAGCTCGTTTGATTGATAAACATTATCCACATTAGTGTGACCAAATGATAGCCGGTAACACTGTTTGTTTTAACACCATTAATCAAATAATAATACGAAAAATTCAGCTACGCTACTCTGAAAATTGAAATCATAGGGCCTGAATAGTCAAAATACTTCTAGACTTTGCTCCAATGACACTGTGCTAGAGAAACCGATTGGAGTCTCGCAAATCACGATCGAGAGATTTCTCCTTTCGGTTTGAAGAATTGATAAAAGCGACACAAAACAAAACCCTAACTTGGGGACTGGAGAAATGAAAGTCGTTTGCTTTTTTTCTCGTCAAAATCGTTGGCTTTTCAATGCGCGGCGCGCTTTTATGTCAGAGCGTGATGCTTCGATAGGCGACCGCCATTTTCGGTTCTTGGATTCGGGGGATCCATTTTAATTGTCTGCCAAACGGGTCCTTGTTCTCCAAGTTACGTGCCTTCACCTTGGCCAATGGCGTTATTTAATTTCCGGGGTTCTATATGGGCAACAATACCCTACTTTTTTAGCATTCAAAAATGAAAAATTCAATAGCTGTTTATACAATATTCGATTGAACTTTTTTTTTTTAAAAAAAAAAAAAATTGAAGTTAAATTTAACAAAAAGAGTATTTATATTTTTATTAGTGAAAATTATTATATTATTTAAAATAATATTCGAACTATTTATAATTTTATCTATATTAATAACAAATGCTTATGGCTAACCTATTATTTGTAATACTAAATTTTGCTACTAATAGTTTTAAATGCTGAATTGTTATTTAAACCAAATAGCCTAAATTATTATTTTTTTTAAAATTGTCTTTCATCTGAAATCTTTTTATTTTTAAGATTTAAACATGAAAACTGGTTAAGAGTGGCTAAAGTTGTTAATTCGGAGCTCCAAAAGTGTGGTAATCGGACCCGAGTGGAATTGCCCGGTCTTTGTGGTGGGAATACAAACAGCAAGGTAACCTCTAATTGAACAGTTGCCAGAGGAGCAGTTAGGTGACTAAAAAAAGGGGTATAAAAGAGACCCGCAAAATGGTAAAGAACAGCAGAGAAAGAAGATGGAGGGAAAATCAAGCAGTATTCAAGTCAATGGAATGCAATTCTCTTACGATTTCCAAAGTCCTATCTTTTTCGATTTCAGCCTAAAGATTTCTCCCGGATCTCGATGTCTCCTTGTCGGTGCAAATGGATCCGGTATGTGTTACCACCACTTTCCATTCAACTATAATATGTCTATATAATTGAAAAATATTTACAAATGTAACTCCTAAATATTTAGATCAAGTTGTGAGCCTCAATTTTTTTTAAATTGGAACAGGAAAGACGACACTGTTGAGGATATTGGCAGGAAAGCATATGGTGGGAGGAAGAGATGTAGTGAAGGTGCTGAATTTTTCGGCTTTTCATGACACCCACCTCGTCTGTGATGGTGATTTGGCATACCTAGGAGAGTCCTGGAGCAAAAATGTTGGCTCTGCTGTAAGTACTGAATAATGGTTTTGGTTTTCATGTCTGCCTTTTTGTGGTTCTGTCTCAGAATTTTCAGTGTGATCATGGGTGAATGTAGTATTTGGGCATCTGCTAAATCTATAGTTGAACAAGTTTTTCGAATAAATGTAATTTATAGTACTTAGTTATCACCCACTGCTGCTATATAGCATTTCATGCAGTAATGTGCACCTACTAACTAAAATTGTGGATCAGCCTGAACTAGGAATGCACTTGAAAATTATTCAGAAATGATTGTAGTTACTAGTTAGAGGTTTCTAGGCTGTCTCCATCATTATTTACGCTTTCCCTTTTGTTTCTTTTTTAACTTTTTACTAGCATAACATCTCAAACTTTGTTAAGTAGAATGCTATTCTGAATGGCTTTATTTTTGCCAAAATTCAGGGAGAGATTCCACTTCAGGGAGATTTTTCAGCAGAACATATGATATTTGGAGGTGCGTAAGCTCTTTATTTTGCAAGTCTCTTTTCTTTTACTCTTCTGATGGCATTTTTTCATCAATTACTGGATCTATCAATGTGTTATCTAAAACTTTAGACTTTCAAATGTTTTTCGAACTTGTTACTTTCGCTTGGATTTCTGTTGCAGCTTGCCCATTCTACTGACCTAGGAGTATATAACTAATATGAATGTTATATAGAGGTGCTAATTTGTTGACTCCATTTGGATTTTGGACTTTTTGAGATTCACTAATTATGACTATTCCCTATATGACTTCTGCAATAATGTTGACTTGTTGAGTTTGAATAAAATTTCAACTTCTTTTGTTTTCATGTCATGGTTTAGTCGAAGGAGTCGATCCAGTTCGGCGAGAGAAGTTGATTGAGCTGCTGGATATCGATCTGCAATGGCGTATGCACAAGGTATCTGATGGTCAGAGACGCAGAGTTCAGATCTGCATGGGTCTCCTTCACCCCTATAAGGTAATCTTTGTTGCATTAGGTTCATGATTGATTGTATTAGAGTTAAATGTAAAATGCATGTATCCACCAATCTCATAGTAGACAGGTCATATTTATAGTATGTTCACCATATTAATTCTTCTCAAATAGCTCCGGTGCTCATTCTTATTGCCCACGTCCAAGTTTTGTTTACTTAATAATCAAACAATATGCTTCCTGTGAGATGGTTTCCATACTTTGATAATTGTCAGCAGGGTCATGTTAACTTCTTTGATGACTGTTGCTAATGGAGAATCACTTTCATCCAGGTTCTTTTGCTGGATGAGGTTACAGTTGATTTAGATGTTGTCGCAAGGATGGATTTGTTGGACTTCTTTAAGGAAGAATGCGAACAGGTATCCATTGTTTTAACGCGGAGAAAACTCAACTAGGTTTAGAACTACACTGTTGGTTACTGAACGGATGTTTAATCCTCCCATCGGATTCTCCATTTATACTTTTTTCTGTGTGTGTGGGTGGGGATCCTTCATGTCTAAGCATCGAAACTGCATATGGAGTCATCAATGACATCATAGATTTTCCTAAAGCATCTACCTGAATCAAAACCCTATAGGAAAATTTAGATCACATTTAAGTAGTCTTCAATTAAAGTACAGACCTGTGATGCCTTCCACATTGTGGTGCATGGGATTAATATAGCAAACCAATTAAGATATTGATTGTGCTAAAGATTCATCATAGACAGGCGAGAACATTAATTTTCTGGCTCCATGTCATGATAACAGAGAGGAGCTACTATTGTCTATGCAACACATATATTTGATGGACTGGAGTCCTGGGCAACAGATCTTGTTTACATCCAAGATGGAGTTCTGAAGAGGTCTGAGAAATTACCTGAGCTTCCCGAGTTGAAGTCTTCCCCCAATTTGCTTTCAGTAGTTGAGAACTGGTTGAGGTCTGAGACCACGATTGAGAAAAAGAAGCCAGTTATCGCCCCACCAAAAGTTCAGAAATCCTCTCCTTTTGGCTCTTCTCCGTTTCAGTCATCTAGACATATGGCATATTTCCGCTGATTTATGGGTTCTGTATTCAGAGTGGAATAAAACCTTGTAGGAATTATGCGTTCTGTTTTTGCTGATTTATGCATTCTTCAGTATGAGCAGCTCGGGTAATGCTGTCGGTATCACGGGCCGTGGCTGAATTCAAAAGTAGGAATTATGGCAACTCGGGTTAAAGTTACATGTTGAAGCCCTGAGGATGTGCCTTTAGTGCAAGTATTATAGTATTCCATTCCTATATGTATACTAGCCACAAGCAATTTCATGTAACACCAAGCTGCCAAAATATTTTTTCTTCCTTCATATTTTACTCTGCAAATTCATCAATTCATTTTGCACCTACTAGTAGGTAAGCAGTCATTGTTGAGATGATAATATTAGTCGTTGTTGAGATGGTAATTTCAACGAGTACTCAATGGACAATCAGAATCCTCTGATCACGTTTCAGAATTAATCAATCTTGTCAAATCAAAGATAAACAGGTGAATAATTACTTGTATCAATGTTTTCGTCGTATTTGTGTGTAACTATCAATGTGGTGCTTATGCTTTCCTGAACCGAGGGTCTATTGGAAACAGCTTCAACCATACTTTCGCAACTTTGTTTCAATTTCAACTCAATTTTTTTTTTCTCCACAAGCATGACATAATAAACCAACTACAGAGTACTAAAAGTTGGAACTTAAGAGCCAAGATTGGAGTCCGGAACCTTTTTGTTATCTTTTTGGACAAAAGATACACAAATAGGTGTAAAAAAAAAGTTACATTTATATATATAACACCAAATTACACCACGATATACCTTAACGGTAACTTTTGCCGTTAAGGTATAGCGTGGTGTAATTTGGCTTATATATACTGACTGACACAGATATAGCGTGTTGTATATTCACGCTATATATAACGTACAAATACAGCACGCTATACCCNACCCCGTCTTTTGTAAAAAAAAATATATGGGCCCCACCCGTTACACAAAACGTTAAGAATGTAGGTCCCACATCGTAGTAGAGCATCGTATTATTGTGGTTTCACTCTTTTGGATTCAACTTTTCACGCAAAACACTACATCGAGGTATTTCGATTTATTTTATGTCGAAACTTGTATAATAATGCATATTTATTAGTTGATTGAATGTGTTTCCATGTTGTTTTGTGTTTTATTTGCGAAACTAGTATGTTATATTTATCCGAACTTAGATATTAGTGTTCTAAAAAAATATAAAATTGAGAAATAATTTTTTTTGTTAATATCAGGATTTAGATATTACTGTTTCCATACCGGTTTGTATTTTATTTTTGCGAAACTAGTATGTTATATGTATTTTTGTGAATTTTATGTGATTAAAATGTATTTGTTGTTTATATTTAGTTTAGATTATTTATTAGCGTATTAAATTGTAGAACGTGTTAGCGTAGTAAACTGTAGAGTATTTTAGCGTAGAATCTCTGTAGTTTAAGTATTGCTTATATTGGTAGATGAAAATATATACTTTGTACAATTAAATTTTTAAAACAAACACGCACAAAATTATCAAAATATTGAATTTAACACACATAATTATTAATGATAGTTTGGTGCTACCGGGCCTCAAATATCGAACCTAAACCTAATAGGTGTATATACTTTGTACAATTAAATAATTAAAAATTAAGAATTTAAATTTTTAAAACAAACACACACAAAATTATTAAAATATTGAATTTGACACACATAATTATTAATGATAGTTTGGTGCTACTGGGCCTCAAATATCGAGTCTAGAACCCAATAGGTATATATGATTTGTATGATTAAATAATTAAAAATTAAGAATTTAAATTTTTAAAACAAACACACACAAAATTATCAAAATATTGAATTTGCCACACATAATTATTAATGATAGTTTGGTGCTACTGGACCTCAAATACCGAGCCTGGAACCCAATAGGTATATATACTTTGTACAATTAAATAATTAAAAATTAAGAATTT